AAACCTGGTGTTTTTCCATTTAGAAACAAAGAGCGATAAAGGATTTCTGCCTTGTGCCAAACCTATAAAAGGGGGTGGAGCAGGACAAAGTGGGTCCCAGTCATGAGAAAGCCCCTGCTTTTCACCTAAGATGCCTGCTGGAACTAACAAGGACTGTACCAGGGGAAAGGGTAGGGCCCAGACTAGGAAGGAGTCTAGTCTGTGAAAGAAGCTTATTGGAACATCTCTGAGGGTGAGATTTACCTGTAATCAGTTTCTTAATGGATTAGGCTTAGACTTTCGTGTTTTGTTTTATTTTGCTTAGTAACTTACTTTGTTCTGTCTCTTATAATTTGGAACCACTTAAATCCTACTTTTTATACTTTATAAAATCACTTTTGTTTATTGATAAATCCAGGGTAAGTGATTATTACCTAAAGGAGCAAACAGCTGTGCATATCTCTCTATCAGTGTTATAGAGGGTGGACAATTGATGAGTTTACCCTGTATGAGATTTATACAGAGTAAAATGGATTTATTTGGGGTTTGGATCCCATTGGGAACTGGATGTCTGGGTGCAGGAGATAGGTGACCTGCTGAGCCATTTTTGGTTAAAGTCTGCAGCTTTGGGGGCATGGACCAGACCTGGGTGTGTGTTGCAGCAGGCTAGTGTGTCTGGCTCAACAAGGCAGGGTTCTGAAGTCCCAAGCTGGCAGGAAAAACAGGCTCAGAGGTAATCTCAGCACATCAGGTGACAGTCTCAAGGGGGTCTCTGTGACCGAACCTGTTACAAGTACCTGTGGGTGGGATTATGTTTAATAATCCAGGACAGAGGTGTAACCACTCACTGAATACCCACCTGTGAATTAATAAAGGGGGAAGAGGAATGGAACCAATTCCAGCCATATGGACAGATGGGTTAAGGGAGAGTGTAGCGGGGAAACGGAAATGTCAGTGGACAGTATATGGAATGGATCAAGAGCCTTTACACTAGCGGATTAGAAATCTGTCAGAAAATATTACATGGTGGGCTGGAGGTAATGGCATAATAAATGGAGGTGCCACAGAGACATCATGGCATCTAAGTGATGATGAGGTTGAGTATTGGATTAACTCGTTGTATTCCTTACAGTGGTATCAATCAAAAGGGAACCAACATTTGATGTTCCAGACACCAGGGGTGTTGTAACCAAGAGGTGTCCCCCAATTTAAATGTCATTTGTCCACATGTAATGATGAGGACACCATGGATCAATATAAATGGAAATGCTGGTGTGGAGCTAAAATCGCTCTAGGGGCATACACAGGGAAATTAAATCTGACTGGTTTGCAGAATGTAACCCTACAGATGGTGTGGATGCCCATCTTGAAAAATCCAGACCTGAATTGGCCACAGCCCGGAGCTAAAAATATTCCCCGGTGGGCAAACGTGTGGGAGCCTTTATGGGACTGGGTGCAACCGGCACTCTTTAATATGTCCTTTCAGTCTATTACATGGGTAGTCTGCCCCAGTGAGTGGTGGGTGGACCAGCTATATCCCAACTGCAGCACATCCATAGAACGGTTGAAACAACAATTTAATAAGTGGGAAAGAGGACATACAGAAAGGAGGATTATTGTCAACAATAAACATGGGAATGGAGCATGGAGCTTGGGGGAAAATTGGACAACTAAGCATTTGATGAGTCACAATGTGAAATTGCAACAAGAAATTAATGAATTGGTACAGCAAGTAGCTTCAATTGCAGATGGGTGGGGGGAAGTAGCAAAATGAATCTACAGATTGCTGATTGGGCAGGACAATTGGTGAAATGGGCAGGAGATAGTTTTAGATGTTTGATGTGGGGAAAGGTGTGTATGGGAATGCAGAATGCTCAAGTAAATGATATTAATGAATGTTATGAGGGACACATGGTTGGGACAGTGGTCATCAGTTTTAAATCATGGAACTAGCCCATACCTATCAACACTTGCAAAAACATTCCCTTCCACATGGAAAACAACATCGCCAATCTGTAAGGCTAGCACTGTGATACCCTGGGAGGGAAATGCAACCAAAGTAGTCCCCATGAGCCCAACGGGAGTGCAGGAAAAGGGTGGGATTTGATGGGAACTCTTGGGGGATCAGTGGGTAGGATGAATGGTATAAATTGGACCATAATTGAATAAAACAACTGTGTATTCAGGGGGGAATATATGGATATGGCCCACCCCAATTGTGTCAGAGAAACAAAATGAGTGGCCCATTTCAAAGGGGGGACACTTAAATGTTATGTATATGGGATATGGAGTTTTCTCCTGGGAATGCATGTAACACTCCTGCAATGTAACACTAGAGGGAAGAAACACCCCATCACATAACTGAACTGCATGCACCTATAAGCTGTTACCAGGATGATAGTGCACAAATGGGTCAGTGGAACAAATTGTTGTGAATAACCGGACCAGTGTGTACTACCCCATCCCACACCAAGTGGTCAAGTTGCTTTGGAAGATATCGAATTTTACTATTGACATTGAATGGACTTATAATATGGACAAAAGTGCACAAAAATTGCAAGAGCTGCTCACCACAGCAGCTGACAATTGGACACACTTGAGATGTATGATTCAGAACAATGTTGAAAGAATTCTAGCCCTGTCAAAGAAGGATGAGCAGTTCCAGTGGTGTTGGCCAAAATGATGGACTATATTTCATTGGGCAGGGCATTCAATATTGCTATGAATTATCATGACACTTGGCCTACTATTAAGTGTTGCTTTTGCAACACTTAGAAGGCAGTGGGCAAGGGGGATATGGTAGCGAAATCAAGAACAGCCATCAATTGTAACATATTTGTAAATAGTAGTAAACCCACCCATAGTGTACCAGACAACCTGGACCCAACCTTCCTGGGCCCATTATAATGGGAAGCCTGAGACACTGATTGGAATAGTGCAGAATGCCTGTACAAAGGAAGGTTCAGAGCACTAACTTGTACTAGGACCTGTGGGGCACATTGTAGGGATATTAAAGAAGGTACTAACAGTTATTCCCCCAAGTGACAGTGACCCCCCAATAATTTGTCCCCCACACTTTAAAATCCAACAGTGTCACCAAGTACAAAAATCTCTTGGGTCTTCTGTTAAAACTTGTAAGCTACTGTCTGTAGAAACCATTGATTGTATCTGTCCTGTGAAAGATACTTTATCACTATGTAAAACTTACAAACAAGTTAATTGACTTTGTTCTTGAAGTAACTGATATAATGTAAACAAACGCTATAAGCTGTTAAGTGACTTTCACTTCATTGTAACAGCAACTAGGCTCCTAGGAACAGACCCCCACCTTCTGTGACCCTCTGTGGTTAAAGGGCCGGGAGTCTCAAATGAATTAGCACACACCCCGAAAGTGGTGGAGACAGTAAATTAAAATACGGTTAAGATATGAAATGTATGTTGATGTACATGAATGGTTAGGGAGGTGCCAGCCTAGAAAGGGAGTATCCATCAGCCGAAGAATGTGTAAAATGAACCACCAGAACCCCCGGAGGGTAAACTGGGATTCACCCCATCGCCTGGAAGGATGAGAAACACAAACTTTGGACAGTTTGGAGCCACCAGGAATGTGCCCAGGAATGTGCCATCTGCTGATTGAGTCAGCAACAGCAGAATGAAACAGCTCCCATAGACTAACATAGGAATTAATTCCTATAAGAATGGACTCTCAAGACTGAGGATTTTGAGTCTCTGGTTCTGCTGCCAACCTCCAGGAGCATCAGGTGCACCTGACACAGACTCGGCTCCATCCTCATGACCAAGATACCTGGCCACTAACTTGGCATGAGCAACTTCTAGGCTGGTAATTATAACACCTATGCAGAACTTGAATGAATGATTGTGTGAATGAATGAATATATATATATATGTGTGTGTGTGTGTGTGTGTGTGTGTATATATAAGGAATAAGTAGTGATAGGAATAAGTAGTCAAACAACATTGTTTACTTTTATGTTTTGCTTTATCATTATATTTACAATAAATGTGGCATCTTTGTCTTATCCCTCTTAATAAGATCCTGCTGGTTTTTATTCTATTGGTATAACAACATCGATCAACAGCACATTCCATCTTGATACCTGTGGCCTATGTGACATCCTCAGGGCCATACGGGTAGTATATATATTGTGTGCATGTGGCTCATATAACACAGAGAGAGCTGTATATGCAGCACAGAATGGTAAATAGGTTGAGAATCACTGCTCTAACCCCACCTAAGGTGGCAAGAAACCAGGGTGAGAGAGGGGAGAAAAGGAGAAGGAATTAGATGGAGGAGACCCCACCTAACTTCTATCCTAGTGGTTAGGGATGTAGCAGACCCCTCTTCAAGTGCCTGACAAGGAGAAAGATTTTAAAAAGGGATCTGCTTCCTCCCATGTGGGTGCCCTAGTCACTGCGGTATGGGATACCTGACATGTGTCTCTCTCAATCTCTCCTAATCGATCCTTAGGTCTTTGTGCATTGTGGCCCCACTGGGGATCACACGCATTGTCTACAATTATTATTATTATTGGAAAATCCTACAGACATTAATAGGAATGAATCCTATAAGATACAACAGATATTAAACAGGATTTTCAACACAATACTCTAGCAGAACTACAGAATGTAAGAGACAAAGATGTTCCTTTTTATAGAACTAGACAAATCCCCAAGTGTTATAAACAGACCATAGATCCAATGAAGTCAGTGGGCCAGATTAAAGAGATATTGGCCCACAGAAAGACAGAAGGCATGCCTAGCTCTAGACCCTGGTGCTTCTAGCACTCACCCTAGATGGAGAGCCTTGACCTAGTCCCCTTTGCTCCAGGGTCTCTTCTACCCAATGGGGATCTGGCCTTTTGAGTTCAATGGAGCCACACCGATTTACACCAGCTGAGGCTTTGACCCAAACTGTCAGTCAGATACCTGAGCTGAGAATCTCGAAAACACAAGTTACTGACAGTTCTATGCTCTTTGATTTTTTTTAAATAAGATCAACACTACTTGAGAAACTTGAATTTTCCCAGTAATTTCCCAACAGCTGTTTTCATCTCTGAATTTTTAAGGCTGTAGATGATGGGGTTTAACATAGGAGTCAAGATGCTGTACTGGATAGAGAACATTTCATCCACAACCATGGAGGAGACTGAGCTGGGTTTTGTGTACTGGACAAAACTGATCAGGTACCATAAACCAACCATAATCAAGTGGGAGCTGCAGGTGAAGAAGGCTTTACGCCTGCCCTGTGCCGAGCGTATCCTCAGGATAGTGGTGATGATGTGAATGTAGGAGATCAGGATGAAGAGGAAGGAGCTTGATCCAAGTATCACAACAGAAGTGAGAAGCACCACTTGATTGGTGAAGGTATCGGTGCAGGACAGATGCAATAGGAGAGGGAGCTCACAGCTGAAATGGCTGATCTGATTGGGGCCACAGATGTGCAACCTGAGGACTAAACCTTTGTTAAGCAGGGCATTTATGAAACCTATTGCCCATGCTCCACTCACCAGCAGAACACAGATCCCTTTGCTCATGGTGTCCATGTAACACAATGGGTCACAGATGGCAGCGTAGCAGTCATACACCATTGCTGAGAGAATAAAAATTTCAACACCAGCCGGCAGTAAAATAAAGAATATCTGGGCAAAGCAGCCATCAGCAGAAATGGTTTTGTGCTCTACTAGGAAATTCACCAACATCTTAAGGACAATGGCTGAGGAATAGCAGATAGCGACAATGAGACAGGAAGAAATACATGGGGGTGTGAAGGTGAGGATCAGTCCTTATCAACAGTATGATCACCACATTCGGCACAAGGGTGATTACATAAATAACTACAAGCACCAGAAATAGGAAAATCTGCATCTGTGGGTCACTGGAAAGTCCCAGGAGAATAAATTTGGTCACTTTGGTTTGATTCCCCATTGATGCTGACTCAGGAAATCTGGCCTGTAAGATTGGGAAAAAACAATGAAATTAACACATAGAAGTACATTGAAATGGCCTGCCGAAATCATCTGACCAAAAGGATGAATGTAAAGCGAGGCCGACTACATTCTATAAAATGTGTGCTGTAAATAGACAAAATGGGCTAATTGCACAGAAAGACTTTGGCACCTACCTACCAGTTTAGGTGCCTAAATCCCAGAATCAAGCCCCACTGGTATTCACAAAAACCCTGCTCAGCTGTGACATTGAGGGACCCCTATAACTGCCCCAGTCTCTCCTATTGAAGCTGTTCCACTGTGGTTAAATAATAAAAGAGGCTTTGGAGCAGAAGGACTGGATACTTGGCCTTCTGTATTGGAGGGTGAGCACTCTAACCACCAGCATATACAGTCATTCAAATGAGTTTGTGCCTGAAACTTACGTTCCTTTGAAAATCTGACCCACTGGCACTTCTGACTCAGTGTCCCGCAAGTCTGAATATCAGGCTGCTCACACATAAGAAAATCTCTCCTGCCCTCTTGGTAGCGAGTGGCTATTTTGGCATTGATTTTTAGTGGAACTGGGAATGAAGCCAGTGTTCTGCCCAATATCACATCTATGTTTAACTCTGAATGCCTCCCAGAGACATACTAAATCTTTCCCCCATTATCAGCTCATCAGACAAACACCCAAGGGAGGAGATCTTGTGTTAGAATGTGAATGTCACCACAGGCAGATTCTGTGCTAAGTGAATTCCAAAGCTAAGTGCCTGCTCCAGAGAATGTCCTGCAACCCTCTAACACACACACACACACACACACACACACACACACACACACACACACACACACACACACACACACACACACACACACGACACACACACACATACTCTCTATTGTTG